GATGGAAAGGGAGCGATGCCGCTACGCCTGTCTCGTTTTCCCTCGTCTCAGGCCTCGGGGGAAGCCCTCGTCGCCATCGCTGGACTTGCCTCGGAATTCTGGTTAGAAGGTACCCCGGGAGAGGTCCGGGGAGTTAGCGGTATCGGTACGTTCAGTTGTTTCCCCAAGAGGGAGGGGAGGGGGAGGACATCGTGGGCCGAAATTGCATATATATATATATATATAACGATGCGTATGTACATGAAAATGTAGATGCACACCCATGTTTGTTTATGTGGATTTGTATACTTACTGTAGGGATGCATGTGTGTATGTGTGTGCATTTATGTATGAATGCGTGCTTACGCATGTATGTCTGTCATTGTGTGTATATTTGTATGTAGGTATGGGTGTAGGTAGGTAGGTATGCATGTCTGTATATGCGCATGTACATAATGATGCAAATATGTACGTGGGTGTGATTATGCTACACGCATGCATGCATGCATGCATGCATGTATGTATGAATGTGTGCATGTAGTGTATGTATGTACGTTTGCATGTATGTATATGTGTCTGTCTGTCTGTCTGTCTGTCTGTCTGTCTGCCTGCCTGTCTGTCTGTCTGTCTGTCTGTCTGTCTGTCTGTCTGTCTGTCTGTCTGTCTGTCTGTCTGTCTGTCTGTCTGTATGTGTGTGCGCATGCACGCATGAATGCAAACATGTATGCACGCATGTCTGTACTTATTTAGTCTTGCATGCATGCATGAATGCATGCGTGCAGTTATGCATTCATGTATGTAGGTGCGTATGCATGCAGGAAGGTATGTACATAGGTAGGTCGGTAGGCATGTATGTATGTATGTATGTATGTATGTATGTATGTATGTATGTATGTATGTATATATACACATGTGTGTACGCATGCATGTATGTATGCGTGTATGTATGTGTGTAGGTATGTGTGTATGAATGTATGTATGCATGTATACATGTGTGATTGTCTACATGTGTGCATGCCTGCATGCATGTGTGAATGTGTGTGCGTGTATGTATGTATGCATGTATGCATGCATGCATGCATGCTTGTATGTATGTATGTATCTATCTAGCCATGTAAGTAATTGAGTCGTTAAGCATGTATGTATGTATGTATGTATGTATGTATGTATGTATGTATGTATGTATGTATGTATGTATGTATACATGAATCATGGCCTTCGGCCCATACCGCCACCGTGCCTGGGTTGTGGGTCACCGGCCTCTAGTTTTTTCGTGGGGATGTTTGCTTCTTGGGGCTCTCTTGGGAGGCCTTCTGGAGGCTTCTTGGGGGCCTCCTGGGGCCTCTTGGGGGCCTCTTTGGGGCCTCTTGGGGGCCTCCAGGGGCTTCTTGGGACTGCGGGTGGGTTCGAAATGATTGTTGGGCGACCCTGTCTGGGCCTCCTACCTCCTATGGGAGCCGTTTTTAGGGCCTGTTGTGCCGTCTCGGGGGCCCTTTGGCGCGTCTGGCGGCCCTCTTGTGCTGTCTTCGGGCCGTCTTGGGGGCCGCTTCGGGGCGATCTTGGGGGCCTCGTGGGCCAATCTGGATCGTCGGGAAGCCGAACATGCGAGTACCCCAAAAACCTTGAAAAACTAATGGGGACGCTATAATGTGTGCCTGTTTGGGCCCTCCTGGGAGGACTCTGGGAGGCCTCTTGGGTTGTCTTGGATACTTTTCGTCCGGGGACTCCCAGGGGCGGCCCCGCGTGCGCGGACTTAGAAATTATCGTAGCTACCTGGAGATCGTAGCACGTCTCTGGCCCGTTTGGCCGGCGAGTTCTCCCCGCGCGGGGGGGGTCCTCCCTTGAAAGACGATGGCTCCATGGGCCCGCAGGGAGGGCGGGAGTTGCGTCTGAAAAAAAAAGCCTTGCGATTGTTTTCTTATATTCATTGTTTTGCCGATCGGCGCGGGCCCTCGCACCCCTTCCCTTTGTGGGCCCCGGAAACGACAGGGCCGTGTTTTCCCCGTTTCCCCAAAAATGTCCCTTGAAAATGGAAACGGTGAAAAAACGGCGACTGGAAACGGCAACAAAACGGCTCCAGGATTGGAACCGGAGCCGGAACCGGTCACAAAACGGCGACGGAACCGGAAAAACAACGGCGTCGGAACCTGCAAAAAGACGGCAAAACGGAACCGGTAAAAAAACGGCACTGTCGTTTCCAGGGCCCACGAAGCCCTTCCCCCCCTTCACGGAGCAGATCTTGGCTGTTTTTGGCGCCTCTTTCAAGCAGGCGGAGGCTCTCCCATAGGACGCACGGTTCCAAACCATCGCACCAAGCAGAGGTCTGGAGCCAGACACCTGTCTCCCCTAATTCCGCCCATCGTCGAAACGCCGAATAAGAAAATGTTCACCTTCCGTCCTTCAGCTCATGAAAGGGCCAAGCGACAGCCTCGCTATGAGGACGACACGTTCCTTATCCGCGCGATTGCTGCACAACTTATGAATTATACACTCGGCAATATCTGCTGAAGAAGTCAAAGGCAAGAGACCCACGTTCGAAACTTATAACGCTGTCCGTTCCTGTACCAGTAAGACTTTTTCAAGACGAGGGGGAGCGATGCCAGCGGGCGAGCCCCAATTTGAAAATCATCCGCCCTACATCCGTAACTATCGGATACTTTGTGCAGCGCTGAGGCGCGAGCATATATTTGGAAAACGCTCCTCGAACATCTCAGACTCGTCATCGCGGTCATCATCGTCGTCATCTTCGTCATCTTCTTCCCTCTCTATGCCTTGTGGAGGGAGGCGGGGGGAAGGTGAACCAAGGATGGATGTGGACGAGGGCTACTAGCGAGACGAGGGAGAAGAAAAGAAGGACAAGAGAGGGAGGACTGCTGATACGCGGCGATAGTGTTGATGATTCAATGGTGAAGTATTCGCTGAAGAGAATGGGGATGATAATTGAGGAGTCATGTTATTTAGGAATTCAAGTATCGGTTATAATAGGGGGTCCAGGGTTCCTTGAGGTTTCGCATGGTTCCAGGGGTGGTGGAGCAACGGGAGTCTGGCGGATGAGGGGTAGACGGACGAGGAGGAAGATGCGGAAGGAGGAGGCGGACGACGACGTCGAGTGAGAGGTATTAGGGCCTTGTAGGAGATTATTGGAGGTGCTGGGGTAGTCTGGGAGGGGGTGGTCTGGGGGGAAGGAAGAGTAGAAGGAGGAGCAAGAGAAGCGTGTAGGAGAAGTGAGTGAGGAGACGGGGGTCTAGTTAGCAGGGGGCGGGAGGAGGAGGAAATGTTCCCGTTCCCATACTGATCCTTGTCGCCAGAAGCGCCCGCCCGCCAGCCCCTTTCGTTTGATGGTCACCCTGCAAGGCTGGAGCAGCTCCTCCCCTGGGCGGTGAGGCCACGGCCGCGAGAATGAGGGAGGCGATCGAGAAGCTGAAGTCCGATCCCAAAGCGATAGAGCAGGCCCCTGGTATGACGCAAACCTAGTTGGGGACTATTGCGCACATTTGCAACATGTTGTTGATCATGTCTTACGTTGTGATGAAAACAGTGCATCGCCAGTCACGTCGGTGTATTCAATCGTTTCGCGCATTTCGCCGGTCAATCTTGTGCCATAGTTGCCAATTGACCGTGTGTTCGCACAGCTTTGGAAGATGTTAGGGTTGTGGCAGTTTCCCCGAGCTGTCGTGGGAGGCTCCCCCTGGGGCGAATCCGCCGCTGTGAAAGTGCAGGGCATAACTCAACGGACCGCGTCCCTGCACAAGTCTGCCACTGGGGGCCCGATGCGCCCTCTCTAGAGGCTATGCTGGGACCCTCTTGTGGAGCTTCCGGGCCTCCTTATGGCTAGGTTTCTTGCCCTCTTGGGCGCCCCCGTTGGGCCCGAAACGCCGGCAGAATTCCGCGCAGAGGCAAGGGCATGGCAAGCACGAAGATCCTCGATTGATGATTGTGATTCTGTTGGAAGCTTCAACGGAGAGGCTATTCGGGAGTCTTCATCGCCGCGGAAGTCCATTGAAGCTAGCTGGGACCATCCTGGGCCGCCCTCAAGACATGCCGGGTAATTTGACGGCCTCTTTTCAAGGGAGGAGAACCCACCGTACCCGACAATTGGCGTTCACTAGCGACCCTGGGCGTTTACTAAACAGCTGTGCCTTGTTCTATTCCTTCTTTGGGCGCGTTTTCTGAATGACTTCGCATGTCGGGGTGGTCATTATGGGGTTGGAGTCTTTGACCTCTATTCTTGGGGCCAGCATGATACCTGACAGACTCTGACGCACACTCTTGGGGGCTGCTGAGCCGCTCTTGGGCCCTGCAGCCCCAGTCAGGGCAGCAGAACCCCCCAGGGCCGCTCTCGCGCACGCGCAGACTTTATACTTCAAGTTTCTAGCACATGCTAGGCAGGCCGACCTGACTCACCAGCGAGGAGGATTCGAACACTCCTGTTGCCTGTTGGGCCAGCTAATTGTGTGTGTGTGTTTGACGTTCCCTGCCAGTTCTACATTGCTTTACCCCCCAAGCCCCCTGTGTCTGGTTGATCCAAAAGGGGGTCCAGCGAAGAGGGGGTGGTGCAATAGATTTGGTGCAACAGACCCGTGGGGTTGCAGTAGATTTGGGACGTGCAATACACTCCGGTGCGCACATCTATTGCTGGGCTTCCACGTGTTATGCATTCGTTGCAATCTAATACAATACAGTACAGTTCCCCGGCGCAATGCGACTGCAATACAATTACCCCCTCTTGGTCGACCCAACTGTGGCCCGTTCGGCCGGCCTGTGTTGCCTGCGCCGTGGCACCAAAATTTGTGCACCGCCAGCGGGTGCGATGCGCAGTGGCACCACGAAGTACACTGTTGGTATCTGGCTTGAAAGTTTTGGTTATACAGTTCGTCGCAGTGTGTTTACGTGGTCTCTACGGCACGTTTTGCTTGCCATGTCGATTCATGTTGGGATTGCCGTATTTCACATGGGGATTCTGAAAAGGTGTTTTTCCGTGCTGCTCCGCATGGTGTTTATTGAGCTGTACCACGCCGCCTCTTGGTCCCTTGTCATGCTCCTCCTCCCCCACTTCACAACCGAGCCTCCCCCTTCCCCTCCCAAACTTTTCCCGCGCATGGAGATGTTGTCTGCAAGCGCGCGGCTCCACAGAGGCTCGGGAGATGATGGACAAGATGCCCCCCGGCCTGCTGTCAATGCTGTCGGGGGGCACTTTGGGTGACGCAAACCGCACCGCGACACCGGCCCCGGCAGGTGCCGATCCTGGGCCCAGGATCGGTGCGGGAGGAGGAGGAGGCGCAGCAGGAGGGAGGCAGGAGAAGAGGGGCAGAGGAGCCGGAGGAGAGGGCGGAGGAGAGGGGGAGCGAGGAGGAGGGTGGTGTACGCCTTTCCCGATGGGGGGCCAGGATGTGCACCGATCCTTGGGCCAGGACCTGCCTGGCCAGGGGCGGCGCAGGTGAGCAGGCCGGCGCCCTCCCCCGAGGCAAGATGAAGGAGGAGGATGCCAAGAAGGCGATGGAGGCCATGAAGAATATGAAGACGGAGGACACCGCCGCGGGGGAAAACGGCGACGTTGACTTGCCGACGATCGACGTGCGACGACGAAGTTGACGCTCGACGACGACGGCGGCCTTGGACGGTGACCTTGGAGGGCGACGTTTGATGGCAACGACGACGGCGACGACGTTTCCCAACGATGACGACGGCCTCAAATGACGACGTACGACGACGACTCTCAGCGACTCCCGACAGCCGCGCCCGCGTTTTTGACGGTTGCGCTTGACGGCCATCCGCGACGACGACGGCGCAGGACGAAGTCGGCGATACCCGACGATTCTCGACGACGACTGTCGCAATGACGGTGGCGTTCCATGACGATGACGTTCGGCAGCGGCCAAGACAATGACGACGACTCAGGCAGGCCTAGGGTGAGGATAAGTCGCTGCAGAGCGTTCCGAAACGCTCTTGGTCCGGATCGCTTTCAAACGGCCGCGGCGCCTGATACATCTTCCAGACCCGCTAGTTCTCAGAGATTCCTGGTTCATCTTGGTCCAATTTCGAAACGCTTCGCTCATCCACGCACCAGCCCATCCAGAAGCGATGCTTTGCGAGTTGCCCTGATAAGACATGTGGGGGAGCACGCAATGGAGTAACTGCTGGCACGCGATTGTACCCCACGGGATGGAGGATGGAGGAGGAACCAGACGAGGAGGAGGAGGAGGAGGAGGAGAAGAATGAGGACGAGGAGAACGCGGGGGGAGGAGGAGGAGGAGGAGGAGGAGCTGGAGGCGGAGGAGGACGAGAGGGAGGGAGAGGGGGGGGGGAGGACGGCTCAGGGGGGGGGGGGGTGGCGGCCTCCGCCCGCTGGCCGCGCTGCGGCCGGCGGGCGCCAATCGACATACGTTTCTCGGGCTTCTCCTCGGGATCTCGTGCGGGCCATCGAGGCTCGCGGGCGGAGCACGAAGATCCACGTGTGGAGCAGCAGTCGAGCTGGGAGCGTCCACATTCGGGAGAGTTGCTGGCAACAGTGCCGAGAATGAGAGCGGCATCCGCTCTGAGGCGTATGGGATCCCACGTCAGACGTGGACGTCAGCCAAGTCCCAAATACATCCTGATCGTTACCACCGCTGCTCCGCATAAGTAGAGTACAACGAACAGTACGACAGCAATTACAACGCAAGATGCAGCAAGTACGACACCAAGTACGAGAAGGCGGAGCACGCCAAGGCGGAATACGGGAACGAGCTGCGCAATAGGAAGCCCAAGGACGACCACAACAATTACGACACCACCTGCGCCACCAAGACCGACATCAGGAACGGCACGACCGTGCAGCCCGAAAGGGTTCGTAAGGTCGTCGGAGCGGAGGGGCCGGTGGACAACGGCCGGGCCGCCGACGACGAGTGCGGCTATGGCCGCGCCGCGTATCTCGAGTATTGCTTCGGCAGATCTTGCGAGAGTGATTTGTATTCCTACAGCCCCCAAGGCGATTCCGGCCTCCTGAACGTGGAACACTACGGCTTGACAGTCGACGACTCCGATTCGGACCTCGTGAACTACGGACGGAACGTGCTCTCAAACAAAGCTCTTACATCCACCAGCAGAGCTACCAGTGCCACCAGACGACCTCCGGGGGTCACAAGTTGAATTACGCACGAGGACCACACGCGCAGCTGCGAGAGCCATCAGAAGCGCTTCAAGACCCGCCTGCGCAGCTACGAAACCAGCCACAGAACCACGAGCGTCACAGTATGGCTTGCGAGGGCCTCGAGTTGACCTACTTGAGCCGCAAGCGGGGCTACGGGCCCACCAGCTGAGCCACAAGGGCCAACAGCTCTGATCCGATGGCCACCAGCAGAGGTACGTGGACTACCAGGTGAGCTACTGAAGCCACCTGCTCATCTACGAGGGCCACGAGCAAATTTCCGAAATCCATCTGCCAAGCCACGAGGTCCATTTGGAAGGCCACGACGGCCACAACGTGAGTTTCTGAGCTACTTCAGCCACCAAGAGATGTACCTGGGCCACCAGCGGTCCATCGACAACCACAAGCTGAGCTACGAGGGCCGCAGGCGCAGCTACGAGAGTCACCAGAAGAGTCGAGAAACACCCGCCGACATACGACAGCCACCAGCTGAGCCACGAAAACCAGTAGCGGAGCCTCGCTGTCGGCACGCTGAGCTAGGCACTAGCAGGATCACGGGGACCACCAGCTGAACCGCGAGGGCCACGTTGCGCTACGAGGGCCTGCAGTTGAGCTACGAGGACCACCAGCTGAGCTGCCCGAGGCACCGGCAGGAATACGAGGACAAAAAACGAGCCATGAGGAGCACAGGCCCAGCTACTACAGCCACCAGAAGAGCAACCAAGATCCCCAGCATGTCTTTCATGAAGACAAGGTGAGCTACGAGGCCCATCGACATCGCTACGAGACCCACCGGCGCAGCCACAAGGACTTGCGAGCTGAGCTACGAGGACCGCAGGCGTCGCTACGAGAGCTACGAGGTCCAACTGTTGAGCTACGATGGGGCACATGCTGAGACGACAGGGGCTTTACGCACGGCCGCGAGGACCATCTGCTGTCCTACACGTGCCACAAGCTGACGAGCGAGAGTTGCGAGCAGAACTTCAGGACAACATTGACGGCCCTTGAGATGAAGACCTGCCCGGCGCACCCCCAAAGGTAGACCCACACCTTTCGCGCGCGGCCTGCATTCCAAAGTCCTTCAGGCCGGGGTCTACATTTCAGGGTGGTCAGGTCTCGCGGGGGTCGGCATTTCAGGTTCCGTTCCGTTTGGTCGGGGTCTACATTTGAGTCCTTTACGTGAGTCCACATTGTTAGGCTTGTCTCGCGGGTCTACAGTCGGGGGGGCTTCTAGCTGTTCGTCGGAAACTACAAGTGCCACCCGCTGAAATCCAAGTGCCACGAGCAGAGCCTCCAGCGCTTCCAGCACAGCTACGAGGACCACTTGCTGAGCTCCGAGGGCAGCAAACTGAGCTACAAGGGTCACAAGCAGAGCACCAAGGCCACCAGCTGCGCGACGCGATCTACCAGCGGAGCTACGAGGGCCCACAGGCTGAGCTACGCGACTTACCAGCGGTGCTACCAGGGCCATCTCCTAAGCAACGAGAGCCACCAGCGGAGGCAACAGGGCCACAGACCTGCCGACGAGGGCCTCCAGCAGAGCTCCTGGGGCCTCCTGCTGACCTCGAGTGGGCCGTCCACGACTGGATCTATAGTCGGAGCCACAGGCCTTGGCCCAAAAGCCACGGCTGGAAGGCAGAGTACACGGAAGCATCTATCCAGCAGCTATTGGAGCAGCAGTGGCAAAACGTGACATTACAAGGAGCAGTGGCCAATTCCAGAATATAAGCAAAGTGACTTGGGACATGGTTGCGGAGACGGGGCGGGGGGGTACCGCCGCAGCGGGGAGCCCAAGGAGACCAAGCGACCGATCATCATAGGTGGTACTGTCGAGGCGAAGCTCGGCAAGAAACGCGTCATTTGCGTAGAAATGCGCATCGATTGACGCCCTACAGGCTGCGGTCCAATGGGAGGGCGGCCGAACGCAATCCGGCGGAAACCGCAGATGCGAAACCTCTTGTGCAAAGTGCGGTCTGCTTCACGTCAGGGCCGCTGCAGCCTTACGGACACGGGTACGACACATATTACGTTTCTGCCTGGATTCCGCGCGTACATCAAACACATGATTACATCAGGTACCACCTCCCCCTCAGCCTCCTCCTCCTCCTTTTCCTCCTCCTCGTCCCCTGTGGGCCGCAGGATGTCTAGCTGATGGTATGGGTGGCCCTCCCTCCCCTCCTCCCCCCCTCGGAAAAATGGGCGCGCCTCGGCGCGCCCGCCCGCGCCGCGCGCAGCGTGGGCATGTGCGGGCGGGGGCGCACGGGACGGCCGATGCCGCTGCGAGAGTGAGAGAGTGAGGAGTGGGGGATGTGGAGGAGAGGGTCATGGGAGGAGGGAGGGGTCATGGGGGATGAGGAGGATTACAACCGGACCGAGCTACAGGATCGAGCTCGCGTCGGGGAGGCTGCCCTGGTGTGCTTCGTGTCTGTTGGAGCTCTTTGTGCATGCGGGGGGGGGGGGCACCTGTGGACGCTCTCTGTGTGTGTGTGTGTGTGTGTGTGTGTGTGTGTTCTGGCCGACGGAGGGCCTCATGTTCTTGAGAGGGGGTTTTCCTGGCCCGGGTCCGAGTCTGGGCGGCTGCGGGGGAAGGGAAGAGGAGGGCAAACCGACAGGCCAGAGGCCCCGTGGATGTTTCCCGGAGTGTCTTTGGATGTGTTTTTAGAGCGTCTCGTAGGCCTGGCCTCGCGGCAGTCCCAGGGGCCTGCTGAAGCGTTTTCGGTGCGCCCTGGGGGAACCTCTGTGGGGGTCGCTCGGGGCCACGTGGGGGCATGTTTGAAGTATCCTGTGGCTTCTTGGGGCCACCTGGGCCTCATAGGGGCCCCTTCGCGGCCTCCTGGGTGCCTCGTGTGACCGTTTTGGAACAGTTTTGGGGGCTTCGGAAACCATCTTGGAGGAGATCGATCGAAGGAGGGGCGGTCTTGAATTCGAGTCCCCCCGCCAGGAAGCCCAAATGGGCACACTACCTTGGTCAACTCAGTAATGTTTGCCCTCTCGCCGAGGTCATCTTGGACGCTCCAGCAGGTCGTGAACCACCCCCCGCCCACGTCCAAAGGTACAGGGTGGGGGGGGGTGAACCATTCCCCGAAGGGGAAAGGGGTTTGAAAGAGGGAACGGACCCGGTACATCACACGTCTCTTTCCCCAACGACCGCACATAGTGGAAACAACAGCGTGCGATGTTCTTCACCACCGCATAATTATTTTTTCTATACAGCAAATTGCCATGGAAAAAACGTGTGGTGCTCCATGAAGCTGTTCACGCCAAGAGGGCTGGTGGGATTCGTCCTCCTGCTTGGATTGCCGCGGTGGTTGCTAAAGGGCAAGGGGGGGTAGGAGTGGATGCTAAAGTTGTTTTTTTATGTGGCCTAGTCTCTCTTGTAAGTGGGTTGCAAGTACCACATGTGGCTTGAGATGATGCGGTAACTCCGCTAGCTGGGCTCCGCCCGTTTGGCCCCCAGATTTGTGTTTTTCCCAACCATCCTGTGGTGTTGGGTCCTCGTTTTGAAGAGACAGCGCCCCGCGTCCCACCTCCTTCCTCCTTCCTCCTCCTCCCTCCTCCCCACCCCCCGTGGGCCCCAGTGGCCCCATAGGGAGCTCCACCGAAGGCCCCAGTGGGGGTGCCCGCATGCGGTTCCCCCACCCAGGGCAGCGTTTCGTGGCCCCATCGGGAACTCCACCGAAGGCCCCAGTGGGGGTGCCCGCATGCGGTTCCCCCACCCAGGGCAGCGCTTCGTGGCCCTATAAGGAGCTCCACCGAAGGGCAGCGTTTCGTGGCCCCATAAGGAGATCCACCGCAGGCCCCAGTGGGGGTGCCCGCATGCGGATCCCCCACCCAGTGCAGCGTTTCGTGGCCCCACAGGGAGCTCCACCGAAGGCCCCAGTGGGGGTGCCTGCATGCGCTTCCCGCGCCCAGGTCAGCGCTTCGTGGCCCCATAGGGAGCGCCGCCGAAGGCTCCGCAGCGTTTCGTGGCCCCACAGCGAACTCCACCGAAGGCCCAAGTGGGGGTGCCCGCATGCGGTTCCCCCACCCAGGGCAGCGTTTCGCAGCCCCACAGGGAGCTCCACCGCAGGCCCCAGTGGGGATGCCCGCATGCGGTTCCGCCACCCAGGGCAGCGTTTCGTGGCCCCACATGGAGCTCCGCCGAAGGCCCCAGTGGGGGTGCCCGCGTGCGGTTCCCCCACCCAGGGCAACGTTTCGTGGCCCCACAGGGAGCTCCACCGCAGGCCCCAGTGGGGGTGCGCGCATGCGGTCCCCCCACCCAGGGCAGCGTTTCGTGGCCCCACATGGAGCTCCACCGCAGGCCCCCGCGGTGTTGCCCGCATGCGGTTCCCCCACCCAAGGCAGCGCTTCGTGGCCCGACAGGGAGCTCCACCGCAGGCCCCAGTGGGGGTGTCCGCATGCGGTTCCCCACCACCACCACCACTGTGGCAGGCCCCAGTTCGTGGCCCCATCAGGAGCTCCACCGAGGACGATATTCACAACTGCGGTACTCACAACTGCACATGGTGGGGTCCTTCGCCAGGCTAATTTTGTTCAGCCATTAAGGGCACGTGCCACCCACTTCTAAGCTGGGTTCGGCTGGATAGCACCCACTCTAGCACCCACTGCCAACCCCCCCATCCCTTCAGCAGTCACCGCGGCGACTCAAAGTGCCTTCGACCCCGCGGCGCCCGGCCCGCGGAGGAGATCCTCGCGGGGGCCGAGAAGGTCGTGGGCCGCATGCCGGCGGGGGCGCCGCCCGGCGCGCCCGTCTCCGCGGCGCCCGAGGCCCCGGGGCGGGGGGGGGGGAGGAGGAGGAGGAGAGGAGGAGGGAGGAGGAGAGGAGGAGGAGAGAGAGGAGGGAGGGAGGAGGGGAGGAGGAGGAGGAGGAGGAGGAGGAGGAGGAGGAGGAGGAGAGGAGGAGGAGGAGGAGGAGGAGGAGGAGGAGAGGAGGAGGAGGTGGAGGAGGGAGGGAGGAGGAGGAGGAGGAGGAGGAGGAGGAGGAGGAGGAGGAGGAGGAGGAGGAGGAGAGGAGGAGGAGGCGGGAGGAGGAGGAGGAGGAGGAAGAGGAGGAGAAGGAGGAGGAGGAGGAGGAGGGGGAGGGGGAGGGGGGGCGACGGCGAGCGGGCCGCCCCTGGCTCGCCATCCCTCCACCTGGGCATCCCAGATCCTCGATCCCCCTCTCGGTCGTCAATATCCTCTTCCGCCTCAATCCTCGGGCCTACACCTCGAGCCTCCTGCTCGGCCATGCTCCTTGATCTTGGATCCTCACCCCCGATCTTGTCGAACTTCCCCGGTAACGAACCGAGGTCCGGGGTGGGGGGGGGGGCTGCTCCAGGTCGCCATGGGGGAGACTCGGTGGCGAGCGAGGAGCTGTGGCCTCCTGGACCCCACCTGGGGCTTCCTGAAGCCTCTCGGGGCTCCCAGGGGGGGGTATCTAACATTTGGCCGTCGGGGCCCCCCTAAATGGGGGGGCACAAGAGCAGGAGAAATCAACGAATCGACACCGGATGCGTATTAACTTGACACGGTCTGATAGGGGGCCTCCTGGGGCCTCCTGGGAGCCTCCTGGGGATCTCCTGGGGGCCCCTGATGCCTGTCCTGGGCGTCCTGCGGCCTCCTGAAGCTCTCTGGGGCCTCCTGGGGCTCCCAGGGTCCCAGGGGGGATATGTAACACGTGGCCGTCGGGCCCCCCCTAAATGGGGGGGGGCCACAAGAGCAGGAAAAATCAACGAATCGGCACCGGATGGGTATTAACTTGACACGTTCTGATAGGGGGCGGAGCCTCCTGGGAGCCTCCTGGGAGGCTCCTGGGAATCTCCTGGGGGCCTTTGGGGCCTGTCCTGGGCGTCCCGGGAGCCTCCTGAAGCTCTCTGGGGCCTCCTGGGGTTCCCAGGGTCCCAGGTGGGATATGTAACATGTGGTCTTCTTGGCCCCCAGGCTGGACCACCTCTTGTGCGGCATATGGGAACTCAGAGTTGCGAGAATGTCTTGTGCGAAACGGGCCGGACCACCTTGCGCACGGCATCTCAGAGCTCAGAGTTGCGAGGATGTCTCAGGCGAAATGGGCCAGACCACCTCGCGCAGGGCATCTCAGAGCTCAGAGTTGAGAGGATGTCTCAGGCGAAACGGCCCGGACCTACTCGCGCACGGCATATCAGGGCTCAGAGTTTGGAGGATGTCTCAGGCAAAAGGGCTGGACCACCTCTTGCGCGGCATCTCGGAGGCCAGAGTTGCGAGGACGTCTCAAACGAAACGGGACGGACAACCTCTCGCGCGGCATCTCGGAATGCAAAAGGGCAAGGATGTCTCAAGTGAAACGGGCCTGACCAGCCCTTGGGCGGCATCTCGGGGCTCAGAGTTTGGAGGATGTCTCAAGCGAAACGGGCCGGACCACCTCTCGCGCGGCATCAGAGAGCGCAGAGTTGCGAGGATGTCTCAAGCAAAACGGACCGGACCTACTCGCGCACGGCATATCAGGGCTCAGAGTTTGGAGGATGTCTCAGGCGAAATGGGCCGGACCACCTCTTGCGCGGCATCTTGGAGCCCAGAGTTTCGAGGATGTCTCGTGCGAAATGGGCTGGACCACTCCTTGCGCGGCATCTCAGAATCGAGAGTTGCGAGGATATCTCAGGCGAAACGCGCCGGACCTCGCGCACGGCATCTCAGAGCTCAGAGTTTGCAGGATGTCTCAGGCGATACGGGCCAGACCACCTCTCGCGCGGCATCTGGGAGCTTAGAGTTTGGAGGATGTCTCAGGCGAAACGGGCCGGACCACATCTCGCGCGGCATCTGGGAGCGCAGAGTTGCGAGGATGTCTCATGCGAAACGGGCCAGACCACCTCTTGCGCATCTGGGAACTCAGAGTTTGGAGGATGTCCTACGCGAAATGCCAAATCCCGGACAACTCAGAATCGAGAGTTGCGAGGATGTCTCAGGCGAAACGGCCCGGACCACGAATTTTTTGTTGAGGACGTCTCTTCTTTGAATTCCCTCGGCCGGAGTTAGCTTCTATCACAACAGCACCCCGTTCAACAAGGTTGTTTGGGGAAAAAGGCTACGATCGCCGCACCCCCAGGTGGCTTCCACTCCTGGCGGCTGGCGAGAGTAAGAGCAGACATCGGAACGAGGCACCTCTCGGCGAAAATCGCAGCGAGTGGCGAGCCTGACGCAGCGTGGGCAATGCGCTTTCGAAACGGGGGAGGGCCCTGCAACTCCTCCAGCCTAGAACAGCAACAGCGTCGGTGAAGAAACGTGCCCTCTTGGCCAGGGCAAGGCAGGCAGCGAGGCTGAGTGGGGCATCCTGTGGCCCACTGGTGCTTCTTAGGCCACTGCCCCCCGACAGCAGTCGATCTGAGGTGCGCTCTCTGCGCGGCTGGCATGCCAGAACTCAGCAACGACTTAAGAGGCTGCAACGGGATACCACGCTCAAGCCTTAGCTTTTCAAGGTGCTCAGCAACTCTATGGTGCTGCCACACTTCCATGGCACGTAACAACAGGATCTTCACGCTGAGGGGGCAAAGGTCGCTGGGGTTGACGTCGGCGCCGTCAGGCCAGATCCATGACGCAGCAGGAGTAGCTGTGACGCCCGCGCGCCTAAGCGAGGCCCACAGGGCGCAAAAGGGGCCTTTGGTGGTCCCAGACAACCTAGCATGGGCCTCACGGAGTCCTCCATCGAGAGGCTGAAAGGGCAACCAGTAGCCAGCAAGGGCACGCAGGAAGGACTTCACGGGCAACCAGACGGCCCTAAATATGGGGTCCACATGGGGCACCGGGGAGAGGATGAGCTTGAGGGAGCGGGACTTGCCATCTTAACGGTGGTCTTGCAAATTACCAGCAGCTGCTCGAATGGATTCAAATCCTGCCCATTTGTGCACATGACCGACGAACCATGCAGCGCAAAGGACTCCAGAACTCTCCGAACCATGCGCCCACGCACGCGGCGACGAGGTTCGGAGCCCGAAAGAATCGACATGCGCTGTCGCCTAAGACGCACTGCCTTGACACGGCTGGTCGTAGTTGGTGGCTTTTCCCCCGACTAACCCAGAGGCGAAATCAATTTCAAGGTTCCGCTCGGATCTGACGGGCAGGGGTTGGAGGCTCTCCAATTTCAAAGCGATGGCCGTGCGCACAGACGGTGAGTTTCCGAACACTCGGGACTTGTCAACAGAAAGCTTGAGGTCGACGGCTTTGGGCTCGCTGTGAAACTTCCTGCCAGCAGCGACGATGTCCTGGACCACGTTGAACGTCAACGTGGTCCAGAACAGCTGGGCTGTTGGGGCGGCGGCCTGAACAGCATCAAGCGGACCTGAGAGAACGAGCTGCAACGTGCAGGTGCAGAGGTACATCCCGTAATCACCTTTTGCCCCACATTGAGAACAAAACCAACCCCACCAGCAGCATCGATCAACATGGGGGCTCGATAAGCCTGAACCAAGAGGTACAGTTGCCACATGGGAAAACAACTGCCCTGGGCAGCCTTGATGAGATGGCGATGCTGCGCTAACTCCAAGGCCTTCGTTACATCGAGAAGCAGCGTGGCACAGCTCCGATTTTCGAAGTGGAGTGCTCCGACCAGGCGGCTTGGATCCAAACGCGCTTGCCCGAAGACTTCCCATGGGTGGACCAGCACAACGCACGAGAATTCCGCGCTTGCCATTGCTTGGTGAGAGGACGTATCAGGCGACCTTGGACGCGGGCCAGCACATGGAGGAGCCCCAGAGGCCTGACCCCTCCCACCACCTCAAGGATAAACACACTACGATTTTACCTAACAGGCCACTCCTGACGGCGTTCAATGTGGTGGATCATGATGTCTCAGAGCGCCTCCAACGCAGGTGGCTGCAAACGCAACAGAGAACGTGGCGAGATCCGATCAACATCAGTGCCCGCTCCAGCCTTGAAGCTCTTGAGAGCTCGCACGAGCTCAGCCCGCGCGGGTCGAGGAGGAGGCTCGCCAAGGTCTTTGGATGCCCGAAATGGGTACGGAAAGACTGGGCACAATGCCCAACAACATTTGTTGTCCCAAACCAACCGCGGCCGCTGTGGGGCAGGCGGCCTTCCGTATCAAATGGGCACAGGCCGCGGCGACACCGACAGCGGGTCCTGTTCAGAATGAACAGGAACTGCTGTTGGGCATTGTACCCATCCTATCCGTACCCATTTCGGGCGTCCAAAAGGTCAGGCCGAACCAGAGGAGCCCCTGTCGGACCCGACGGGCGACCACCGCTGCCGCTCCGCCTCGAGCGCGCAGCGCCTTCGCCACTGGGCGCGCGCCCGCTCGAGAGCCGAGCGCCCCGCGGTCCTGCCGGTCGGGCGAGGGCCCCAAAGGTGAGGACATGCCCGCCCGAACGGCAGGATTCAAGAGAGGAAAAAACACACAGGCACAATTGATCCTCGATTCCCCAGAATTATGGGGAAATGTGGGAAGTGAGGGGAAGACAGAAACCCAGAACATATGGGACACATCTGGGGCATCTTGTTGTTTGTGTGTATTTATTTGTTTGTCCCAGGGCCGCTTCAAAGATGTCTGGCGAGGGCCCCGTCCAGAAGGTGAACCGTTGCCTCCCATCCCCGTCCGTGTAAGTGTTGTATCGCGGTGGACGTTTGCAGTCGTCAAGCTTCAGGAGCTTGCACGGGGAGAGGCTCGGTCTGAAGAGCAGGTGCCTCCCACCCGTACAACGGGTGTATAGTTCCAGCTGGCTGTTTCAAGTGGAGAGCACAAGGATGGCTTACGCGAGAGCTGCGTGTTGAGAACGAGCCGTCCTCTATCTTTGCAACCGCTGCAAGCTTTGACGACGAATGTGCTCGGCGCTGTGACGGGGGCCCCGTTTTGAAGTGCCAGCCGCCCTCCAACCCTGACGCCGCTGCAAGCCTCACACAGCGGCCGCGCGCCGCGCTGCGGCGAGGGCCCGGGCTGGCAGAGGACCCGCCGTCCAACAGCGCCTTTGTAGACTTTCGAGACCCACGCGCGCGGCGACAAGCGGAGAGGCCCAATTAGAAAATTGCCCGGCCTCCATCGGCGAATGCCCGCGGCGCCGCTTCGTCCATGTACTGTTCGGAGCGTTCAGGCTTCAGGGACACAGGTTGTTGGGGGAACTATTGCTGGCGAGCCGCCTGAACCGCCCTACCGACATGTGTGGTGGCGCTGCAAGGAGGAGGGGGATGGAGGAGGAGGAGGAGGAGGAGGAGGAGGAGGAGGAGGAGGAGGAGGAGCCTGGAGGGATGGAGGAGGAGGGGGAGGAGGAGGAGGAGGGAATATCTGTGTGGAACCTGGAGGGATGGAGGAGGGGGGGGAGGGGGAGGAGGAGGAGGAGGAGGAGGAGGAGGAGGAGGAGGAGGAGGAGGAGGAGGAGGAGGAGGAAAAGGAGGGTGGGGAGAAGACGAGAAGAAGAAAAAGCGACGAGACGATTGGGCAGAAGTGGGATGCATAGTGGGACTCTTGGGCCTCCAGGCCCAAGAGACGAGGAGGCAGAGTGGAGGCGACGAGACGACGGGCAGAAGTGAGACTCTTGACTCGGGGCCCTCTTGGGCGTCGGGGCCCTCTTGGGCGATCTTGGGCGCCTCTTGGGCTGTTTTTGGGCCCTCTTGGACCGTCTTGGGGCCGTTGGGGGGGGCTCTTGTGGCGGTCTTGGGGGCCTCTGGGGCCGTCTTGGAGCCTCCGAAGCCCGACCACGCGAGAACGCCAAACATCGAAACGCACCAGGCACACTCAATGCTATTTGCTTCTCTGGGCCCTCTTGGCCCCTTTGTCCTGCCTTCTCCGTCCTTCTTCCCTCCCCCACCTCCACTTTCCGTGCTGCCTCCCTCCCTCCCTCAAGCCTGTACTTCCTTCTCCGTCCGTTTTCCCCCCTCAGCGTCCCTCCCCCCTTCCCTCGAGCTTGTGCCGCCTCTCTCTCTCTCTCTATCCGCCTCCGCGCGGTGCTGCGGGGGCTCCGCAGTCTGGCCACACGAAAGAGTCAAAACTATATAGCCAAACAAACAGTTCAACGATAGTCCAAAAACAAAAACGAGAGATCTGTGCCAGGCTATTTCTGTCTGACTACTTTTGAATATGCCCCTGTGGAGGGGTATGCCCGACTTGAGCCTTGGCGTGTCCGTGTGGGGCACGAGGAGGGGAGGAGGAGCACAGATTCCCCAAGACCGCAATGAGTGGCCCGTGGGGTTGGAGGGGAACCCGCCGAGGTGGGAGGAGGAGGAGGAGGAGGAGGAGGAGGAGGAGGAGGAGGAGGAGGAGGAGGAGGAGAGGTGGAGTCGGGATTCCGACGAGTTAACGGACGCCGTTTGCTGCCGCCGCTCGTCGTTCCTCGCCGTGCTCGTCGTCGCCGTGTCCGTCACTGCGTCCGCCGCCGGCGTCGCCGGCGAGGTGTTGGACGCCGCCATGGCGACCGCCGCCGCCCCGGCCGCGGGCGGCAAGACGCCGGTGGCGGTGGAGGCCCAGTCCGCGCGCGCCGTGGACTGAGCGGCCGCGCGCGGAGGCGGGCCTGGGCCTCGGGGGGCGCGCGGACCGGGGCCAGCGCCGGCCGGGGGTCCGCTGGGGCCACGCCAGGCCTCCCAGGTGGGGTCGGCGTAGAGGTCAAAAGCAGCGGCGAAGCGTCCTGGCTCGCCTATATATATAGCCCCGCCAAACAGTGTTCTAAGAACCTTGTGTGGTCTCCACGAAATGTTCTTAGAACATTTCTGGCGGAGTCTGTCTTCTTTTAGCACGTCGGATTTATGTTCTAAGAACATTGCGTTTGTTCGTAGAACATTCTTGGGTTCTAAGAAAATTTCGTGGTATTACTATTTGAATGCCGGGACGGTCGGTCTCTCTGCTCAAGTAGAGGGGGTCGGAGGATTGCGCCGCATCGCCGACGCACCGCCAATGCGGCTCGATGCGGAGCCCGATCTCCGCGCCGGCGTCGCTGATGCATCGCCGGCGTCGCCAAGGCATCGCAGGTGCTCGCCGGTGCATTGGCTAGGCGGCGCGACCCCATCTGAGGGGCCTCTAGCCACGCTACAAGCCCGGAGCGCTCTCGAAGCGTTCCAGAACGCTCTGAGCAGGCCGGGACGCCCGACACAGACTCCAGAGCCGCCGGATCTCAGAGATTCTCGACTCATCCTCACCCGAACGTTCGTCGTCCTGACTTCGTTGTGGGCGGTCGTCGGGCGGGGACTGGGGCAAAGCGGTGCCACGGCGGTCTGAGCCGCCCTCCGAGCGTGCATCAGCGCCTGGCGCCCGCCAGCTCGAGGCGGGGATCTGTACAGAGCCACCGCCTGGAGGGTCGATGTGCGCGGGCCTCCACAGGCGGCGCGCGTGGCTATACTCTCAGGAGGAAGAGAAAAACACAGACACAATTGACCTCGACTCCCCAGAAAATATAGGAAAATATGGGAAGTGGGGGGGAAGACCGAAACCCAGAAAATATAGGAAAATATGGGGAATCTTTTTTACTTGTGTGTATTTATTTGTGTGTCCTGGGGCCCCTTCATACTCGGGCATCTGGGGGCCAGAACATGTCCATGCCCACCGCCCGCTGGGCCCCCAGGGCGTCGGTTCCCGCGCGGGGGATACGGGCAGGTCCCCGCCCCGCATCCAGAGCCGCCGGACCTCAGAGGTCCCTGGCTCCTCTGGGGCCGATGCTGTCCTGGTCTCGGCTTCTTCTCCTCAGGCCGACCTCCTGGGCCGCGCGCGGAGGGGGGCGTAGGGACGGCCTCTCGGAAGCACCCCTGCGCTCCAGAGGGCGCGGGCCTCGCCTGCAGATGTGGGGCCGGCGCCTTCTGAGAAGCAGGCCTCCTCGCAGGGAGCCCCTCCCCCCTTTTACCCCCTGGTCCGCGCCGCCCACTGGCCCTGGCGTCGTCTCGTGAGGCCGGCCCCCCCGGCGGCGCTGGCCCCCCCGGCGTCGGCCCCGAGTGCCCGAGGGTTGGCAGCGCGAAGCCCGCCCCCCGCCCCACAGTGCGCCTGCCCCGCGGGGCCGGCGGGGCGCGGGAGGAGCGGCGGCAGTTCTTGGGGGTCGCCAGACGACGGACGACGACGACAGCGACGACGACGACGACGACGACGACGAGGACCACGACGACGACGACGACGAGGACCATGACGACGACGACGACGAGGACCACCGACGAGGACGACGACGAGGACCACGACGACGACGACGACGAGGACCACACCGACGACGACGACGGATGGAGGCGGGTGGAGTTGGTGGGTTGTGGTGGTTCATGCTGGCTGGGAGGATTTAGATGGTTGGTTGTGGTCGGATGGAGGCAGGCGGAGGCGGGCGCCTTTGGGTTTTGCCTCTGACTGGTGGTGGCTCCCGTCGGGAGGGACATCGTGAGGGAGGGGGGGCAGAAGGATCGGAAGGGAAGGAGGCTTGAGGAAGAGTGGTGGAGGGAGGATGGCTGAATCACAGCACAAACATCAGTTCTTTTTCACCCTCCCTCCCTGGGCTCGTCTGGATGTTCCTCCTCCCCGACCGGGAAAAGCAGAGGGTGATGAGGAGGGGGAGGTGGTGGGAGAAGGACGAGGAGGAGAGGTGACGAGGAGATTTTGAGGTGATTTTGCTGCTGCTGCTGCTGCTTGCTGCTGCTCCTCCCGGTCCTCCCACCTCCCTTCTCCTGATGCCCCCCCGCCCCCCCCCCCCTCCACCCGAGGAGGAGGAGGGGGAGGAGGAGGAGGAGGACGACAGGGAGAGGCGAGGCTGGCCCTGACGTGCGCCATGTGGGCGCGGCCCGCCATGCCCTTCAGCAGGGCCCGTGCCTGTGCACTTGAATCACTCTCGGCGCGTTGCCCGGTGGAGCCGGGTCGGGCAGGATGAGGTGGAGGGAGGACCGGGGTGAGCCCAGGATCCACGCGCGCTGCTGCCATGCACCCTGCCGTCCCAGGGCCCCTCCTCGCAAGTCAAGTCCGTGCAGGCCGTCCTCTTTTCACCGCAAGTCGCGACCCACCGGAAGACCAGCACCCTGTGAGCCCGCGCTTGCACTTCGAACATCAGCTTCGAGGACATGTCAAGTCAGGTTGTGGAAAGCTTGCATTGCAGGCGGTGCAACCTAAGTGGTGCAGGCTATATGGTGCAAGCTATGTGGTACAGGCTGTGCGTTGCAACGTAGGTGGTGTAAGTTATGTAGCACAAGCTTTATAGCGTAAGTTATGTGGCGCGAGTTGTGCGGTGCAAACGATGTGATGCAAGCTCTATGGTGAAGAGAACTGCGTAGTGCACTGTATATATATATATATATATATATGCTGCCCCCTAGCGCACGAGGCGCCCAGTAAGCGCCCACGGGGGCGTGCACCAAGCGAATCCACGGCACACCCACCCGACACGAGGCACCCACGGGCGCCAGCAAGCTGGGCACCGGCCGAACATTTTGCACACATAACCGAATCCATGAAGTAATCCAAGTCAGAAACCTCAGGGGCAACAGGACAAGCCCTGTGTTTGAAAACCAGTTCCGAGCGAACACACAATGTTCAAAGGAGCCATCCTCCATGTTGCAAGCTTCTGAGACGCATGCCTCGGCGCTAAGGCGAGAGCCCGATATTGAAAAGGAACCGTTCCCCAGTGTTATATCCGCTGAAATATGTGAGACGAATGTGCGCGTCGCTAAAGCGAGAGCCGCATCATGAACACAAGCTCCCTGCAGCATTGTATGTGCTGGAAGTCGTGAGGACGAATGTTGACCTTTGAGACGAATGTGCGCGGCGCCAGTGTTAAAACCACAGTTTGATTTCCTTGTCATCTGTGTAGCTGTTGCAATTTTGAAGGCGATCGTGCCTGGCGCTGAAGCGAGGACTGAGAACCCAAGTTTGACAATGGCCACCTTCCATCTTTGTAGTTGCTGCAAGGTCAAAGCTTCAGGATCACAAGTGGTGAGGAAGTCTGAGGCGGAATGCCCGTCCCGCCCTACCGACACGTCTGGGGGTGTGACAGGGAGACGGCATCTCTAAGGGGATGGGATAGAGTGGGAGGAGGGGAGGGGGGATCTTCCTATAGACGGATGAAGAAAAAGAGCGGTGATTCCCAGTCCGTCACAGCGAGCATGCTTGCTTACACCTGCGTCATACCCAGGGCCATCTGTTTTGCCAGTTGCCGCGTCTGTGTCAGCGTTGAAGGTTGTCGTAGCCAGCCGGCGATTGTGATTTGCCGAACACAAGAATTGACAAGTGCGGCGATCGTGTTTCAATTGCCCTCTGGCCAGGTTTGGCCAAGAAGCCACGAGCGCCATATCGTTGAAAAGACATGTCTTGATGGGTCAGTCTAGACCTGAGTCTGAATCACACACCCTACGCCAGACCAAAAGCCAGATCGGACTCCAAGCGGCGACTTGCGCATCTGTTAATGGCGGCACCGGGGCACCCAGACGGAGTCAGTTCTGATGCCCAGACAGTGTAATTCTCCAAATAGGCTTGCCTTGTAGGAGTTCTAACTCAAACCCTACTAATTGGTCCGTTGCCCCCCCCTAATTCCTATGCGTCCCCCCCTAATTCCCATGGCACCCCCCTCCCACGCCTTTTGCTGCCAATGTGACCCCCCCTTATTTCCAATGGCACCCCCCAGCTATTTCCAAAGGCGAGTCCTATGGATTCCTATGGATTCCAACGAGTCGCGTGCCCTTGCTTGCTCTTGCGTGCTAATGCTTGCTTGCTCTTGCGTTCTTGCTGGTGCTTGCTTGCTGTTGCTTGCCCTTGCTTACTTGCACTTGATCGCTGGCTCTTGCTTGCTTGTTATTGCTCGCTTGCGCTTGCTTGCTTGCGCTTGCTTGCTTGCGCGTGCTTGCTTGCGCTTGCTTGATGTTGCTCCTCCCGCCCTCCTCCCGTCCTGCTCCCGTCCTCCGTTCGTCCTCCTCCCATCCTCCTCTCGCCCCCCTCCTGTCCTCATATCTATTTGGAGACAACGCTGGCTGATATGAGTTGTTGAGCAGAACATTTGTTACTTGAGGGGTCAGCCTCACTGATCTACACCGAATGGAGTGCAGTGAACTAAGCATATGTTTCATCCCCGCCTCTCTCACCCTTGCGTCCTATCCTCAATTCCCCCTCCTCCCCGCAATGCCGACCCTCTCCTCCCCTCTGCTTCCCTCTCCGCCCTTACCATCCATCATGTCCTGCCTGTCCTTCAGCCCCACTCGGTGCTCTTCCGTTCCTCCCTCCTCCCCGCATCCCAGTATTTCCATCCCTCCGTTTCTCCTGGCGTCCTCCCTATCTCCTCCCTCCTTTGCCACCTCCTTATACCCTTTTCCCCCCTCCTCGTTTTAGAAGACAACTCCCCGCGTTACTCATGTTTATCCTCCTCGCCCTTTCCTCCTCCATGCTCCCATCCCCACCTCTGCCCTCCGCATACCAACCGTTTCGGCATACCTCTCACACCCTTCGTTGGCCCATAGGGAGCTCCACCGAATAACCTACTGGCACCATTTGCATGCGTCGCCGCCAACGATTTCGGCACACCCCTCACACGTTCCGTGCCCCCCACAAGG